CGTAGTCAGATTTTTATTACAAAACGCTTGCACCACAAATCTCTCACATTACCATATTTTCAGGAGTTATAACTGTAGAACGCATTGAGCTGTTGACTTCGGATTTTCACTGTACAAATTCACTGGTGTTCTACTTGGTGATGACAGTGTTGTCAGATCTCAAATATGTCTATAATCTGAATAAAAATTACAAACAAATACTTTGTTTCCAAAATTGAAGTTGTTGTAACTTCGTTGTTAACAAATATTTTTTAATGAAAATTTGACAGTTTTGATTTATAACGACTACGAATCCAGTGGTGTAGTCAAATTTGAAAACAAAAATTGCCTAATAAACTTTTGCCGTTTTTGACAAACAAAAAAAACCATAGAGTGCCTTGGAAATGAAACTAAAATTGTGAAAGTTAGTGTCAAGATACAGTTTTTCATGCTTAATATTTCAATAAAAAAAATTGAGATTGATTGAAAAATGCACATTCTACAGGGGTGGTTCCATTTTAAATGGGTCACACTGTATATGTTAATATAAATGTTAATTTATTTTGTAGTAACCTGATATTTATTGTTATGAAATAAGTATCAAATTCAATATTTGCTGCATATTACTTATTTAAAAAATCTGCTTATTTTGCTCACAATTTCCAATTTGTGCATAAATGAGGAAAAATATTTTTTCAGATACATGACACGTCAACTGATGCAGCTGGCACGAGGCCGAATTGTTTTGGCCTTGGAGGGAGGCTATGACCTGCCTTCTATTTGTGACTCAGCTGAGGAGTGCGTAAGGGTTCTGCTGGGTGATCAGCCATCTCCTATCTCCCCTATTGAACTATCCCGTGTACCTTGTCCTAATGCTATCCTCACCATGCAGAAAGTTATTGCAATTCACACTGTTCGTTGGCCGTGTCTTCAGGAAGTTGTGAAAACTGCTTCATGTTCATTCAACGACGCCGTTCGGAATGAAAAGGATGACAAAGACACTGTCAATGCTATGGCCAGTCTGTCGATGCAGCATGCTGCGACCAACATGATTGGGTCTCCACCTGCTTATCATCCGAACAGCCCTCAGCATGTGTTACGACCGAACGCGTGAAAGTTGAAGGAATAAGCTCATTTTGTACCAAAATTTCAATTGAAAATTGAGTATGATTCGTTAGGAGAAACTTGAAGGTTATTTTATGGGTTAGTGTTCCATCGATTTAGAATTAGGAGTAAATTGTTGATCTGGAAAGAAACTTCATGATAAGCTACTGTTTCACAAATTCTCTTCAACTAAGATTGCTATTTGCATTCCATACAAATATTGAATGCACCAAATGCATTGCATTGAATGTAAATATTGAATTGCGCCAAAAAAATTTCTCAATCAATTGATCGTACTGTCGCAACTCAGTACTCGCTTGGCTTATTAACGAAGGATTTTATTCGTTGTTTCACCCATTCATGATTCATCCAAATAATGAAAAATCTCATTTAAAAACTTGAGTAAATATTTATTGCAACGAAATGTGGAAAATACTTCAGGAATAAACTTACACTAAAATGTTAATAAAAAAATACTATAAATCACGAAAAACTTACATTATACTGCCACCCAGCAGGATCGAAGAAAAGGAGATATGCTGTATTTCTGGAACCTTTTCTGATGATCAATAGATACTGAATGAATTTCTCAATGCTGTCTGTTCATGATCTTGACCTCCCTCAATATTTATGAAGATTTATACGCTGACATTGCAACTTTGATCTAGTCACTGTACTAAGGTAAAATGCTCAATATGCAATCTGTGCAAAGTTTGTGGATTTGAAGATTATCAAAGTTTGTGTATTTGGAGATTGTTTTATATCAGTATATGATATAAAACAATCTATGATCCTATCAATTTCCATGTCTATGAGCTTGGAATATTGAAAGATGAAATTCTGAATACTGAGTGTTTTTGATTTCGAATATTGAAGTTGAGGTTGGAACATCTTTCAATTCATGTATTTACTTAAATGAATTTGAATTATTTCATGATTATTTTCCATATTTGACAGTATTGACAATATATCAGAATTTTTTCTTTACTTTGAGAACTGCATCATAATGATAAGTGTAGAATTTTTTCATGAAAATTTTTCTAAGCATATATCACAGAAAAGAATCACCTGGTTTTAGAATGGAAAAACAGAAGTAACGCCGATTAGAACTTCAAATTGTGACATTGTTCAGTAATCAATTAAACTATTCTAACACTCGTGTAATATTTCTTACTGTTTTTTTGGGTATTTAATCAATATGAAAAATGAACAAAGCTGAATCAATAGAGAATTTGCTACAGGCTGTTCACGTTAAGAAGAGAATTACATCATTTTTGGTAATTTTGTATATCCAACATAACAACGTTAAAATTCCCACTGAAATGCGTCCAACAGCAATGTAAGTGTTGTAAGTTGTTTCTTTTGATAAGACCTGCGTATATTCAATATGCCTAAAGCATTCTCGAAATAGTCTCAACAAATACTAAAAGTAAGTAAGGATAATAGCAGTAAAACATAAACATTACAAAAAAATTTGAAAGTTTGAAATAGTGCACATGTTGGCATCGCCGTAACTTGTCATCTTGTGACGTCATTCTCTTCTCAACGTGAACAACCTACAGATGTAATAGAAAATTCATCCCGAAAAGTTACTGTCTAATATAAACCGCTGAAAAGTTCAATTAATTAGTTACTTGATGTATTTACAAATTATGCCTGCTTATAAAAAAGTTATCAAAAAAATGTGTTTCGGAAAGTATTTCTTTCCGTTCTCAAAACCCAAAATATTTACTTGTAAAAAACACCCCAGATGAAAATAGGTATATTTCCTTCGATAGATAAATTACATGGATACACATAAAGAATGTTCAGTTTAGGCTCATATTTACGTTTTCAACCTTTCTTTTTAGTAATAGCAACAAGGTACAATCTTGGAGTCTTATCATTTTAATACGAGATTATGTGGCGACAATTTATGTGTCCCTCCAATTTATTGCGTGATCATCAGTAAATTTTAAAATATGCTTCACTATCTCTGATTCCATTATATGTCTTTTTCTCATATTATGTTCACAACTTTTCAGATTGTGGAAGGTTGAATACCTGAGAAGCAGCAAGAAATATTGACTCAACAAAAAATGTTCAGATAATACTTATGTAATATATGTAAATAATTTTTTCTGACATGAACATTTATGTTTCTTGAAAAATAAACCTACATGAGTTAATCTACAGTTAAAAAACAACACTTTTCAACCTGGATTCAATATTGAATTTGTAAAGACGTAACCACTATTCTTATGATGCTCTATTATAGGAAATTAGGACGGTTCAATTGTAACACAAAATGTCTCTGACGTTATAAAAGACATCAAACATAATACAATGTTTCAACTTTTTTGCTGGATATTGAAATTGTTTTGAAATGTGAAATATGACAATGTTGCTGATTGACTTCTGAAGCGTTCAATGTAGTACAAGATTTTATCTGATATTAGTCTGTTGGTATTTCGTCACTATCCATATTTTTCTTCAAGTACGATCAATTTCTAAGGATCTTTTCAAAATACACTTCTCTCCAGATATGAGAATATACGCTGATTATTTGAGGTCACATCAGTGGGGTTCATTGGTAATCATTCTCTTCTAGTTCCATTCAACTGGATGTTCACCGTGTGATTTCGAAATGTGTTCTGACGATGAAAACTGATTTTCCTCATAAAAAAGTTGTTTTCATTCAGTACTTTGAATCAATAATCTAATTCGCCGAATAATTTCGTCTAGAGAACATTTTAATTTTAGAGAATTGTTGTCATTGTATTGTCATTTTGTGGGATTGTTGGCTGTTGTTCATTTAAGAGGATGTTTTCCAATGTTTGAAATCATGATTGGTTGGCATTTTCAGGAATACAAAGACTGTTATTTCTTGAAAGGAACAAGTGGATAGAAATAATCTATCAATATCCACTATTGGGGATTTAACAGAGAGGTATATCTGTTTAAATATAAAACAATGATACCATATATACCATATCTATAGTGTTGCGTTTACTGTATAATAACCGATCAAATCTTGGTTGAAGTGTTCCCTTTGAAGGTTATTTTCAGATAAGATTTTGGATTTAGGGCCGTATACAGGGGCACAGGAGACAAATGCTATGTTCTAGGAAATAAATTAAAATCAGAAAAAGTAGATTTATAAAAAGAGATTAATAATAATACATTTATTATGAATTTGCCATGTATTATGATCATGAATTGAATTTATTTCGTTGAAACACAGTACTGAATGATTTTTAGTATTCTTAACATTATAAGCAATCAAATAATGAATTAATGGATGTAGTCGTTACTATGTGGTAGGAAAACATAATGAAGAAAAGAGAATTGAAACTTTCTGTTTTTTATCACTTTTATTTGTAACTAACGTTATTGCAGTTTCGTCCTATAAGGACATTTTCATACTTATACATTAAACTAACAACGATTGATTACATTAGCCCTTATATAACACCACTGTAGGTAATGATAGCTTGATTGAGTACCTGAATTTTGTTTACTAGTAACAAAGTGGATTTGCTAATTTGAAAACCGGTGAGTAAACTAAGTCAATTTGATCAATTAACAGGTTGCACCCGCAATTTTTACGCTTGTGAATTTCCAAGGATTCCAAATAATGGAGTTTGCAACCCTTCTTTGCATAGTGCAAAATTTCCGTATTGTTTAGATTCGGGAACTTGTGTTTGCATGCCAAGGAATGGTTTGAAAACGTCGAATCATTTTTACCTAGTCTGAAGGACCTTTTATGTTCAACATACCATTTATGGAAATGTATGCTGAATTTCAAACCACTATTTTCATTATAACGTTTTGATGAACCAATGTTCAAAATATCATTCTTGGAAGTTATTTTACTTTTTCATTATCAAACTTCAGTCCAACTAAAACCTGAAGATCACAATCTTTTGAGAAATTGAGAGCGGATACGTTTCTGTGTAATTTGAGAGAACAGGTTGTAGCCACTTGCAATAATTGAAAACAGCTGTAGAAAGGCAAGTACGAGTACACTGAGGTCCTAATCTATCTACTCCATTGGCGGTGACGCCGTTATTGGGATTTGTTAACATCAAGCTAATGTGTCCCACTCCCTTCACAACTAGTTCTTGATTTATCTACTCCTAAGCAAGGGCTGAAGGAGAGGATGTTTTAGGATATTTCCTATTAGAAGGGTATGATGGTATAATGAAAGTGGGAGTAAAGCCGGTACTTTAAGACGAGTGGTATGCTATGGTGGTATGCTATGGTATGGTATGGTCACATATTAGGCAGGGTTTTTAAATTCAGTTAGGAATAGTCACGACAAAACATTTTTTATCGATCGCGAAAGAATAGCACCTAAAGGCTGACTTTCGACCAAAAGAGGTCAGATGTCAATCTTGCTAAGTAAGCAGTAAGTTGAGGACCGCTCGGAGAGCGGGGGTGGATGGAGTGGGGTAGTAGGTTCTCCTCGCTAAATAGCTGAGGGGGAAAGCTTCTATTTCAGGGCACTCAACCCGGGAGGGGGAATGGGGGGGCAGGGTTTTTGTTATTTTGGAAGTCTGTTTTGTAACAAGGTGCTCAATTAATTTCCAAGGCGGCTGAGGAAGACATTCATATGCTTTGATGGACATTCATCTGTTGATTCAACCTGCGTATGTTGTGTAGCTGTTAGAACATTGTACTTTGTAGATATATCCTGCCTCAAGTTCTATCGAAAACACTTTCCCAACACCAGAACAAAATACGGTCTCTCGACGCGCGTTTCGATAAACAAGATAGCAACCTCAGGAGATCATTATGACTAAATTTTACTACTATGTAAGTTTTTTATATGCTGGTGACCTAACTACTTAGTAGTACCTAACTACTATCTGTTATTGTTCCTATGCCAAACTACCTGTTTTATAATACCTCTAATTTGTTATGTATTTCCTCTATGTTAGTGACTATCCTCTACGTTTTTTCTCTAATTTTTCTGTTTTTTATTTAGAATCCTTACGTGTAAAATTGTTGACAACTATACATAACAACAGGTTCCTGGATGTATTCGTAAGCTTGGAAATCAAAAAGTGTGGAATGAGTTCTATGAATAGCGACAAAGGTTTCATTTCGAACTTTTTTTGGTCTTTCAATAGCTTCATTTCACGCCAGAGGTTCCATCACGAACTATCAAACTGCCTCAATCTGTTCAGCTTGTTGTCATAAAGAAATGGGAGATAAATCATCAGTAAATTTATGATTACCATGATGGCAAAGTGACACGTTTATTAAAAACTATAAATAACTTGAAAAATATTTCGCTTACATTTCACTTAAAATGATTGTATGTTGAGAATTTTTATAAACAGTAGCTAGGTACAGAGTGCGATTTTGTTTTGAAGTATTTTTAGACTGGTTGAATCCTTTTTCAAAAAGTCAAATTAAAAATCTGTGGTACACTAATCTAAAAACTAATGACATGTGAACAGTGATGCCGACATAATTTAAATTGGTGATGTGAAGCACATCGATGTTTCTTTTAAGAAATTTTTATAGTGCAATGTATTTTAAAAATAAATTTAATGGGGCGTGTTGATGTCAGTTGTTGTGATGAAATGGCTATTTAGGAAATTTTTTGAGAATAAGTTTGGATAATTGTTGAAATTGTAAGAATATGTGTACCTTTTTGAATTACATATTTGATAAAAATGCTCAGAATGGGTCATCTTTGAATTTTTTTGAACTAAATAATTCAATTCTATATTCGAAATGAAAATTGTTTCCTTATAAATCACATTTGAGTAATTTTTAAGAAAGTGGAACTTCTTTTGGAATTGTCAGTTCTTCATAAAAATAAATTAAATACTTAGTGATACAGTTAATCCAAAATTCTGATTCAATTGAATTGGAAAAAACATTTGAGTATGTTATTCAGCTTTCTTTTTTGTAACTTCATATTTTATATAGGACTTGAATGTCTCAGTGTATGAATAATTGGAAAAGTTGTCGCATAAAATGTGATTGATTGTTGATATGACTTTTTTTTTAATTTGGGGTGACTCAGCTGAGCATCAAAATATTTTATGGGTGTGATATCACCTATTTTAAATCATTTATTTACTTTATTAGTAGTATCTTTTTTTTTGAAATCTAATAACAAATTACATTTCAGTTTCTAGTTACTATTAGGGAAATATTTCCTGATCACAAATCTTAAGTCAAATGATATGACTTGCTACTATCAAACTGAAGGATAAAAACAAAATGTTCACTTTTTTTGAGACTAATGGTTATTTTAAATTCCCTGCACCACCCTAACTTTTGTTTTCAGTTATTGATGAAGCATCACCATCCATGATGGTAAAGAATGGGCGTGAAACATCGGTAGGACGGTAGCCTGGTGGGTTGATGAGGGTGGTCAGTTCCATTCAATCAATCGACCGCTGTGCAAACCGGTGGTTCGAACCGCAAGGCCGAACGATCGATTTTCACTTCCTATCGTCCAACCCGTGTTAGGAATCACACATTAAAAGGTAAGACCTCGTTATTCTTCAGCTCGCACAAGTTTCAACTTTTGAGTTTTCGTTCGTAGGGGGATGACAGCTGGTTAACGGAAAAATATTTTTTTTCAAATCAACGTTAAAAACCTCTTCAGGTTAATATCCCGCGGTCTGCTCTGCAACTTTGTCTTTCTACTCTTCACATACTTTATCATCTATACTAGCACTTACATTATATATTTTTCGGGAAAGTCTCGTTTTCTTTAAAAAAAAAATAAAGCCACCTGTCGTTAGTATGAAACTCTGCATGTCCCAATAGTTCTGCAAACTGATAGCCTTTTTCCGAAGAATAGGGCCTCCAATTGCCACATTTTTGCGCCGACACTTAAAACACATTTCTCTAGGTCCTTGTATTCACATAGATTTATTCCTTTACTGTTTGCACTCAATCAACTTTCTTCTAAAAATTTATCTTGAAACTTTCAAATTGTGGCCAATGTACTAAAGGGAATTTCGAACTTTTTAGCAATATCTATTTTTTTCATTATATAATTCTCGTTTACACCTTTTTCGTTTATCAGCCACTGCAAATTTTAAAACTAACAGGAGTGTTAACATTACTGAACATAAAACAGTGATTATTGTCTTACAAAAAATTGAAGTTTGAACCTGTCGGAACATGAATTTAATTGTGAAATTGTATGTAGATAACTGATAGAAATTGTTATGTTAAGGTAATGAGTTGACAAAATTTGTTGAATGGAGATAAATATTACTTTCTATTTATATTTGGCAATGATTGAAATTAGTTATAAAAATATTTTTGACAAATATATTTGCAATGTAGGAATCGCACGTTAAGAAATAAGGCCTCGTTAATCTTTAGCTCGCACAAATGTCGACTTGTGGGTGATGTCGTTGGTAGAGGGGCGACAGATTTCGCATTAACTCTTATGAGCAGTTCGGGAATGTTCCTCAATTTGGGTTATTACAGCAAATGCAAGTTTGAACAAAATAAAGTTGAGTTTAATTATGATTTTTTCAAATTCACTTCGAAAAGTATTCAAATTGATGTTTCAAATGTTGGGTTTTAATGTTTAAAGGGATTTGTTTCTAATTCACATATTGGCAACAGCGCCTATATCAAGTTGAAATAATTTATACGTACCTAGATATTTTACTTTCAAAAAGGAAAATTATCTTTATAAATCAACAATTAAGGCAAAATATAAACTATAGTTCAATATCACTTCCACAAGCCACATAAACAACAGTTGTTTTGTTATTTATTTATATAGAGGAAGATAGGTTAGGTGCACAAAATATCATGTCACAGAATGTCTCGGAACATAAGTAAACAGAACAGCACGCCTCTGAAATATGTCATCTTTGTTTGTCTCATACAGGTAACAGATTCATTGCCCTTTATTAGCTATAACCGATGTTGCCAAATGGTGAAATTGAAACGAATCCCTTTAAATGTTGAATGCATTATTTCATTCCTCTTTTTTTAAGTATTTAAATAATTTCTTAAAAAATAAGGTTGAAATGATGAATTTAAAATGCATTGTTTTAGAGCTCTTTTATGAAAACTACTTGATTTTCGTCAGGAGGAACATTCTCCATTGTTATCATCAATTTCTATTTTGTCCCTTTAAAAGTAGTTTGCTTCAGATATGACACATTTGTGCCAGTAGTTCTTTCCAATTTTTGAATCAGTTCTGATATGCACTTTTTGGTATGTTCTTAAGCCGTCCCAGCAATTCGGTTTTTATCTGCTCAATCGTCCCAAAACACTGTCCTTTCATGGGTATTTTCAATCTTGAGAAACGTCGAAGGGGGTCAAATCTTGTAAATATGGTGTTGTTTTTAGCAAGTACATTATTGTGATGCAAAAGCCATGAATTATTTTTCCACAATGCCGGAAAAAGCAGCAAAACGGAAGTGTTTTTTCATAACAAAGGTATTTCAATAAGATTCATTATCATCATCATCAGGGAATAACTTACAATTATAATATATGATAAAAAACAATATTTTAATTAATAAACGTTGATTGTTGGAGAAGTTGTGGAATTCCGATAATTGAATATGATGAACTGGGACTTAGATGGGTTTGGCTAGAGCCTCCATTTTGTTATTGTTGCAAGATGTTCCAAATTGTTTATAACTTTGTCTAGCGTTTGATCATGCATAATTAGGGCAGTGTCATTTGCATACTGGAGAATATATGCTTCATGCCTGAAGTGGTTGATATTTCCTTGTTGGTGATGATAAATATCAGAGCTGTATAAGTTATATAACAATGGCGAGAGCGGTGAACCCTGTGGAACTCCCTGGTCTGGGATAAATTCGTCTGATAACTACTACTCAGTATTTTAACTCTGTTTCCTGTCAATTAGCAGATTCTTAATTGTATGCACTAGATAGTTAGGGCAACCTAGTTGATACAGTTGGAATAAAAAACCCTGATGCCAGATGCTATTGAATGCTTTGTTCACATCCAGAAAGATCGCTGACGTTATGTTGTTGTTCAGCTTGGTTGTTTCAATGTTGATCGTGAGAGGATTTATAGTAGATCTTCCTTGTCTAAATCCAAACTGGTAGCTTGGAATTTTATCATTAAGCAGTTGTAGTAAATGGTCACGTAAAGGTGTTTACCAATTACAGGCAGGAGAGTAATCGGACGATAACTATCTGTAAGGGAGTGATCCTTGTTTGGTTTGGGAATTGTAATTATTGTGCCTATTTAAGCAGATGTCAATTCAAAACAGTTGCTGGCACTTATATGGACATATTGTTATATCAATTTATTTCACAGTGTGAATGTTTATTTACTGATCTACAGTAGGTTTAGCAAAGTATTGGTCTAATGACATTATAATTTTATTAATTTAGCAACTGATGTACAACACAATGACCAGAAATGGAATGAAACAATATTGTGTCCGTTTGGATACGAAATAATGAAGCTAAATGGAGTCATATCAATTTTTTTGTCAATTGTGAAAACTGGAGTGTGTCGAAAGTATAATGAGAAAAGTACAAGAGTAAATCCAAATAGAATCTTAAGTCCGTAAGTGAGTCCAATTTGCATTGTTAGACCATTGTTTTTACTATGGCATTCTGCTAGGGTTTCCTCGATTTTGTTTATTTTTCGTTGAACCTTGGAATATTTCGCAAAATTTTCGGTGATGTTATACTGACTTTGTTCAACTAGCAGTTCTTTCTTTTGAGAAATAAGTTGCATTTCTTCAGAAGAAGGCCTGTTTCTCCATTTAAAGATCTAAAGTAAAAAATGATTAACAAAAATCAGAATGAATTAAAAATACGTACCAATTTTCCTATTATGGATGTATGAACGGTAATGAAACTCAATACAGTTGACAAAATCAACAAAAACATTTTAGCTTAAGACTTATTTCAAATGAAAACACTCAATTTCACTTGAAGTGACACAGAATAGTAAATAATTATTCTGTGGTTAAGATTCCCACAGAGTAGTAGAAATGAGGTGACATTGTTGACAATTGCTTTTACTTATAAAAACATGCTAAAATTTCAAATCCACCAATGGAAGAATCTGTTGGAACAGTCGATGGACTCGACAAATCATCTTTTCTTTTCTCAGAGAAAGAAAAATATCCATAAGAGCGCTGGTTGTTCAAACCATGGTAACATTAAACGGTAAACATTATATTCTGAATTTGTAAAAGTACCACTTCTGGTGCCATCACTATAGACGTGAGAAATTGGAATAGATATAAATACTATCACAATAAAGTGAAGCACAAGAAGTCATAACTGATAGACAGAAAACCTCCCTTCATATTCGCACCAACTTTGAGTCATCAGGAATTGAATACGACTATTAAATAGTCGATATAGTCATCTGTTAGTAATATAATATTCTGTGCTCTTAGTGTATTGTTTTCTTGAAAATATAGAATCAAGGTAAGTTTATGAAAAAATAACAGAATGAAATGACTGACGTTTTTGCCTTAATCTGTCTCTTGCATTAGCGTAGAGGCGTTCGGAAATTATACTGAACAGATAAGGTAAGGAAGGACAACAATGTTTTCGTTTTAATGCAATGATATTTCTGAGAATTTAGTGCCTACTAATTTGGAATTGTGCCATACACAAGTTAAAGTTGGGTTATATTCATGATGGATTGACGCATGCCCAAAGAAAATTATTAAATGAAATAAAATAAGTAAAAGATGGAAAACTTTCAGCTTATTGCTTATTCCTTACATCAGCTTATTTACTTTTTCATAAACGCTCTGCTTTGAAAATATATATTCCACTTACTTCGCTTCATTTTATTTTTAAATTTATGTTACTTTTCTTATAAACTTTTTTTATTTATGATTAGTTNGTCATGACATAAGTGATAACTACCCGTGAAAACTATCCATGGGTAGTTTTCAGTGTAATGATGGTTTCATTGGTTATTTCGACACACATGACTAGAAATAGACAAATTTGATAGGATCATTTTTTTGGCAAAAAATTTTCAACTAAACCAACCACCACTATTTTATGGTCCAACTTACTCTCCGTAAACAAACAAATTTATGTTGCCTTCAATGTAAGGATGGAAAAGGCCTCTTCTATTGTCTTTTATTACTCTGAGAGCACCGTTAATCATTTTTTTCAAACTTGTGCCTTGGGAGCCATTTTTTTAAAAATTCAGTTTGGTGTCATCTATGAAAATATTGCAAAACAACTTGATGTTGTGAACGAGGCACTATCATAGATTATACACAATCCCATGTACTATTGTAGATATATTAGGGATCACATTTCACAAGCCCAAAATGACATCAACTAGGAATGTTGAAACCATAGCCACTAAACAAAGTATTTATAATCCAACACCAGTTGACGTTGCTTACACCCGCCAATGTGGTACTAGGCTGAACAATGAATGACATTTGTCAATGATGTACAATGATCGTGACAACTTTCTTTTAATGAAAAGTGAGAGATGAAGTTTTGCGAATGAATTATATATCAGTCAGAAAGTTTCACCACAGTAAAAATAAACCAGTAAGTCAACTATCACTACTTTCAGTCATAAATTCACAAAATTCTCGATCCCCTCGAAACGAGGCGCGGAACCAATTTCGATCTTTAACCATAGGCGTGCGCTTATATAATAATGTCTTTTTTACATCTTCCATTTTCTATATACATAATAATAAAACAAACAACAATAGCCAACTACAAAACTGAAAATAATAATAACAATAGCAATTTCCGACCGTTTATTATAACTAATCTGATGCCCGTGGGACCGTCGAATCCTTCGATACTAGAGCACTGAACGCGTTGGATGATAATCTGTTGATAATCAGTTGAAGGTCCCCGGCAACTAGGGTGGATCACGTGGTAAGAGGAGCTCCTGGATATATTATTCTACTGTGGCTTTACTGCGAAGTGACATGAAACACAAACATTTAAACTTGAAGCTTGAAGTGTCATCATGTTAGTACTGTTATGACTTATGACAGTATCAGTGTATAGGTTATGATATTGGAAAGTAGAAAATTTGATTTCACAGAACTTGAGTCTCTGTTTTGAAATATAATAGAGGTTAATTGTAAATATTTCGAAAGTTCTGAGTATAGTTAGTTTGAATGTACTGAAGTAATGTTAAAATGGATAAACAGTCGTCTCTAATTTTACCCAAAGAAGTGGAAGGCAATGGCATTAAAAAAGATATATTTCAAGAAAAATCCAAGAAAGGATTAAACAGTATTAGGGCTATCATATTTTTATTATTGTGGTATTTCTTTAGTGGTTGTACATTGTTTTTGAACAAATATATTTTAGCCTATCAGAATGGAAATCCTGCAGTATTAGGTGAGTGTTTTAACTAACTATTTTTTTGATAATTCACTCTTAATCTATATAATTAGCATTTTTCACATATCTCGGTTTGAAACGTTGTTCAGAAGAATGTTTAGGACTCTCTTTACAAAAGAGGAGTGAAATGAATGACATTGAAAATAATATTACTTATATGAAATAAGAATAGGTAATTTATAAAATTTTAAATATGTAATATATTCTCAGATAACAGAACTGATATCTATAGGTAAAGGGTTTGCTGATAAAATTGAATTGTTTATATTTATCATGGAAAAATGAAACTCACAAAATATTGAAAGAATTGAATTGGGATTTTTTTTTCTCTTTCAAAGGTGTCTCTGATAACTTGAAACATTGATGAATTGAAATAGGAAAAATTGGAATATGTACTTTGAAAGAAATAACAAATTTCCACTTCAGTTTCTGTGATTTCTTCTAATTTATTTATTGAAAGTTGACATAGCCTTTAATGCTTGTTGTATTCTAGCTTTTAATATATAATATGCATAACAAAACATTCTTTTTCCTAGGTTTTAAGTTTGTAAGAATGATTTGTTTTTTTTGGGTAGAAATAAAAATGGATAATTTTCTTGCTTGAGAATGTGAGAGAAGTATATTAATATTACAAAATTTCCTTTTTCTAATGTCTGAACAAATTCAAAATTTTTCATTTCTTTTTCGTTATTTTGATTTGATAACTTGATAACGAATTATGGCTATTTCCATTCAGCAGAATAATTTTATAGGCTCACTGGCATTTCCATCTCAATGAAGGAGGACTATTCTTTATTATTCAAACTACAAAGTTCCCATGAAATTATTTTCAAACAAATTGAATGTAAAGTTAGCAGTTGTTCAGTGGTCATTTTTATCTCTGGTGGAAACATGAGTGACTCTGGGAATTAATCATCACAACTAATATATTTTTGAATTCGTTATCAAAATGCCAAGAGAAGTTATGAACCTTTTCTCGTTTACATACTTGATGATTATTCGTTTTTCTGGGACCTTTAAGGAACACATTTTTCGTTTATCAGTCATTGCAAACTTTAAAACTAACAATACGGTTGTTATCAAAATTCCAAGAGAATGTATGAAGTAGAATCATGCCTACTGGTTTATTTTCGTTCAAATTATGAAAACTTCTTATGAATCTTCTCCCAATTAGATTTTGTGCAGAAACCTGTGAAATAAACTGAAGAGCAACACGTCAAAAAATGACTCTTTCGAAAGACATCTAAGTGGTAGTTTACACTTGAACAATTTTTTTTGAAATACATTTTAAATCCTTTGATTTATATATCACCACATATTAATATTTTTTATTTCTTACTAATTCGGACTTCGAATCAAAACTTGAAGTGCTGAAATCTATTAACTTTCATATTCAATCGAGTATTCTAGAAACCTAGAAAAAATTAAGTGAATTGAGGAATAATATGAATCATTAAGTAACCTTCTGAAGGATGGTTAAAGCTCAAACCAAATTTTAAAAAATTCGGATTATATACTTGAAAATGTTCACTCAAGTTACTTCTTCGACAGATGTCAACAAAGTTTTGAAATGTGAATTATGTCAACGTTGTTGATTGACTACTGAAACATTTGATGTAATACAAGATATTCTCCGATATCAGTCGGTTGTCATTTCACCACTATCCAAATTTTTCTTCAAAAGACGGGTAGCCAAGTACGATCTATTTCTAAGGAGCTGTTCGAAATACAATTCTCTCCAGATATGAGAATATACGCTGATTCTGGCAAACATGATATTAAAATGTTTTCAGACAATTTAGATCCTGTCAATTGACTATTTTTTTTTGTAATCTCACGCACTTTCAATGGTTTCGAAGTTTCACCAATATAACTTTCACCACAAGAACAAGGTATCTGATAAATGCAATTTTATGTTTTTTCTTCAGTGTTGTTGGGTTTTGTATGTGTGAGTATAGATTTCAGTGTATTTTTTGTTTTGAAAGAAGTTCTAACATAATACCTATTTCCAATTCGTCTTATATTTTCAGATAGTCGTGGAAAGTAGGGTATTACTTATATACCTAAAATGTTCAGCAAAGTTTTTTTTTAGTAGACATAATTTGAATAGACTTTGGAACCATATATCTAGAGTTTATTCACTTGCCTTGTGAAGGGTATTTTATAATTGAAAGAAATTTCCAAAGTTCGGATTAGCTTTTGAATAGACTTGTTCGTAAAGAACAAGCCTGAGTAAGTACAGGGGATGAAATTTCCTCCTCTATGAGATCAATGGATGACGCAATCTATGAATATCAAAGATAAACGGGGTTTTCCAAGACGGTCAGTTGGAAAGCCTAGCTTCTTCATTGACCGCTGAACTAGATTCGTACCTCAAGACAACTTGTTTTGTGAGTTTTCTTCGATCCCTAATAATTTTTGTAATTCAATAAATTTTATAGTGCTACAGTTTCAGCCTAATGGCGTCAGTTGATATTGTCGCACGTGAAAATCCTGAAAAAGTGCTAACAACAACTCAGGTGGGGGGTTAATTTATCAATAAATCTTGTATGGCTTTTATAAATTCAGATACTAATTGCGACAGGGCTCTTTCCTAACAAATCACTGTATCAAAAGTGGGACAGGAGAATAGAAAACATTTTCATTTTCGAAAAACAACGGTAATTCGTTTTGTTGTGGCGTATAAATCAGTTGGTGTATGGGGTAGTAAACGTTAGATCAACGACCTACCCTAAAGTTAGGGATGAAGAGCATTCATTCTTGAAAGGTATCGATTCCAAAATATTATTAGATATCTAAAATCGTCAGTTTAAAAATTTTGAATGTTATTGCAATTATAAAATTTAAAAATTTACTGAATTTAAAAAATGTTTTACTCAGTAGAAAATATATTTGTTGTTCTATGGAAGAATAATTGAAAATGTAAGTCGTATATTTTCATATTAACAATACATATCGCTATTTAACCAATAGCAATGAAAAAAAATTATTTCAAATGAAATTGGTGGCCAGGTAAAGGTAAAACAAAATTCATGTTCTGAGAGAATATTAATTTTCGTGAATTTGTTAATGTAGGTGATATGTCTACATAATGTACTATAGTATACAAGGCGTTAGTGAATGAGTGTAAAAAAGTCCAGAGGGTGATTCTGCATAAAAAATAATGACAGTTTGCCGTATAAATTTTGTCCGTAAATGCTTCGATTTCTGAGATACGTTGTTTTGTTTGTTTTTATGAGTCCACCTCAAACTGTAATATCTCAATGAAATCTTATTCAGCGTAACACACGATTAATTACGTCAGCATAAAAATTGTGTTCTTGGGATTCGATGAAGTCGACAAAGACCGTTTCTGCCTGGTCCTGATTGGCGAAGGTCCTGCCGGTGAGAAAGTTATCGAAGTGCTTGGCAAGATTGTAGTCGATTGGCGGGAGGTCAAGGGAGTATAGTGGGTGAGTCAAAATTTCGACGCTCAATTCGTTTGATTTTCGGACGGTGATTTGTGAAACGTGCGGAGGGGTGTTGTCGAGGAACAGGATCAGGCCTCTTCTGTTGACCAGCGCCGGCTGCTGCTGATGCAATTTTCTGTACATATCGTCGATTTCCTCACAATAGGACTCTGTTGTGATGGATTGGTCCCGTTGCAGAAAGTTATAATGAATCATACCAGTCGCCTACAACCATACAGTAACCATGGTCATTTTTTGGTGGGTTTTTGACTTTGGGAAGTGCCTGGGTGGCTCATCAGTGTCTAACCAATGTCCTGAACGTCTTCTGTTGATGTAAAGGATCTACTTTTCATCACACGTGACGATCCGATTCAAAAAGTACCGTTTTCTTTGCGCAAAAGCAAAGAAGAAACATGACAATTGTTGGGCACCCACTTTTCGAGCTTTTTGACTTTTCTAATACGTTTTAAAGCATCAAAAACCGCTGGTGACGCCCAGTTCTTTCGCCATCCCACGCACCGTTTGTGATGGGTCACTCTCCACCAGTGTCCTCAAATCCTCGTCTTGGTGGACCACATCGGGGCCCATCTTCGAGGCTAAAACCTCCGGAACGAAATTTCACAAACTAACTGTGATTGCTTTGTGCTTGGTTAATTTTTCAGGCGGTTTCTGCAGCGCTTTGGCGCTACCACGACAGTGTAGAATAAATATTTATTGAGATATGGAGCTACAAAAACAAATGACATTTAAACAGACAAAACTTCTGAAACAACCAATATTTGTGTATTGTTCTGAAACTCTGAAACAGGAATCTCGGAAAAAGAAGTATTTGCGGCCAATAGTTGTAAATCAAATTGTCATTATTTTTCCATGCAGAATCACCCACTGAAGTTTGTCGCACTTATTCAATGACACTCATTAATCAAAAACCGCCCGGGTCCGCATGGGTGCAATGCTGTTACTTAATTGATACTAAATATACATATAAACGCGTGCGATAGCCGCGCGTTGTAAAGTGCTATGGGGGCAAAACGCGGCCTTCGACGCCCTATTTATAAGCACGCGCCGCCGCCCCCTCTGCCGGTATCGCCGCAACCGCTGTCCCTGCGTTTTAAATCTGCAATATCTTCGAAAATATTCATTTAAATCAATTACATGCTGTGCAGGGCTATATTGATCTATATTGAATGCACAATGTATGTAAGGTACCTAATTAGATAAGGATTAATAAGTACTGTATTGCTTAAAATCGCTTCGTAAATGAAAATAAAGGATAAAAAATTGATTATTGTGGGTTATGCCTAATCTAGCTGGTAGGGTTCAGCCAGCGTTTGCAATGCAAGCACAAAAACTGTTTTTTTACGATATTACATTAGAAACCTCTGAAATTATCACTGTTTCTCTACTATAGCATGCATGTTATACCGTGTGACACAGACTTATGGTGCACCCCCTTTTTTTCTTTATTCTTTCACATATTTTTACGGAACTATTAATATTGATTATGCTTACAAAGAGGCACTTTTTGACATAATGTGAGATTTTTTTCAACTTCCGGTTTTTCCGGAAATCTTATCAACGTTTAATTTTCAAATAGAACACCCTGTATATTATTACATTTCTGACATCTACACAATTTTCTGAATCCAATGATACCCCATACTTGATATTTTAAGTGTTTTAAAAAACTCGTATCAAAATCCGTTGCGTAGTTTTAAAGATCTGAACATACGTAGGGACAGGCAGAGAAAGCGACTTCGTTTTGTAATATTCATTGCTTGATGCATTGTTATTTCATTAGAGCAGAGGTTCCCAAACTTTTTTATCATAGACCAGTATCAAAATTTTGCTGGTTCCGGTGGACCTCTTGCAGCCACATTTCTACCATATTCCCAAAACTCGACAAAAAATATGAAGATTAGATCTAACTATGGAAATTTGCGTTGCGGCTGCGTTCTAACCACGAGTTAACAGTTATAGAATAAAAAGTGAGAATTGATTGGTTAATTAACTAATTGATTGTGTGTGAGTGAATGTGAAAAAAGTGAAGTTGGTCAATCAAAAAAGTGATTATATCCAACCTAATTGAAAGCACACACACAAGTTGTATTTCGTTGTCCGTTCGAACAAGTGTTGCGGACGGCGGCAGCGGCGGCGCTTTGTAAGTCTCGACACGTTCTGAATATGGAATTTGCAAGTTTTAACATTTTCTGCCTAAGTTGATAGGCGAAGTCAAGCCAACATTTTAGTTCTTCACTATCGACACTATCTGTATTTCAAGCGGAAATTTACGCTATTGAATTGTGCGCGGAGAGACTGGAAGAATCCAACCTCATATACAAGTCAATAAAAATAGTTACGGTCAGTCAAGCGGCGTTGGATGCTCTTGGTTTCTACCGAGCAACGTCTGAATTGGTAGCAAATTGCCAAAAACGATTCTCCTCGATAGGAAGACTCAACAGATTGTATCTGGTCCGGATTCCTGGCCATACTGGCATGGAAGGCAATGAGGCTGCTGACTCCCTTGCAAAGAAGGGTGTTGCAAGCAGCACTGTTTTATTATACTCACGTAACTAATATGTATATTCTCTTATATAAAATTTAACCCTCATTTTGATTAAAACTGGATTCATTGTATACTATGTTGAAGCCAGGAATGGAGTTACATTATAAATATATGTTATATGGTATATTCATGCAATATCGGCCAGGCTCGTAATCTTGGTATTTTTGCCTTTAATGCCAGCAAAAATTTTTCCGTTAAAATACCAGGCATTTCCGACGCTATATTTGATTTTTGTCTATCCGAAGAGATCTCCTTAACTTTGTCAAATCCTCCGTGAAAAATATATTCGTTCCCTTGAATTTTTCGGCACATTTGATGATGTCAACTCTCAGTTCTGATTTAGATAGTTTCATTATTATAAGCCTTGGTTTATTTTGGTTTTCAAGTTTCTTTCCGATTCTATGAACATCCAATACAGCAAGCGCCAAACGTGATGGCGAGCTCGCTGCTATGCACACAAACTCATTTTCGAAGTAACCTCCACTACAGCTTTTGCAAGACATACAAATGCTTTGTACAGAGGTGTATCATTACCTGGCCTCCAATGCTGTTGGCGTTTGGCATTGTCTGAATAATTTATGTTGTTTCTGAAAAAATGTCATCGCCTAACAAAAAACCAGTCATTAAGAGTCAGGAACGTGAAATGATTTTTAAAGTGTTCAATTATTTTCAAAGTGTTAAATGTGAGTCGGATACGTTATCAAATGTGAAAAATAAAACATCTCTCGCTACAGGTAACATTAAATACATTTAAAAAATAATTATTTCAACACAAATCTTTATTTTGTATTAGGTATTTCAATAAGAACCATTGAAAGAGTGGTTAAATAAGGGAAGAAATTGATTTCTGCAAATAACGGAGATGTAAAAGTTTCCACCCCAAGAAAGAAGCGGCCTAGAAGAGGACCAGTAACTGATATTCCCGAGTATTAGACGGTTTATTTACGACTTTCAATAAGACGGAAGGGTATCGTATTACGGTAAAAAAGTTCCAACACAAAATTAATGACGTTTTGGAAATTGTGGCTTCCGAAACATATCTTCGTGGAATTTCAAAGAAAACAGGTTTCAAATGGAGGACTGGAAATAATAGAAACATTTTAATAGAGAAAATGGACATTAGAACTTTGAGGATCAAGTATTCACGAAAAATCAATTATTTTCGTAGCCAACAGCAACATACCTTCATAGTGGACATACATCTTCCAAGAACGGGACGGATGAATTCAAAAATATTGCGAAGGGACCAAACCTCATTATTGTCCATGTGGGAAGTGACATGGGCTTTATACCTAATTTTCGGCTTATATTTGAACAACAACATATCTGAAAATTATGGTAAATGATCACAAGAAAAGTAAATCCTAAATTTACCTGTGAATTCGGTAGTCTTGACCGATAATGCTCCATACCATAATATTCAAATTGATCCAGCCTCCAACACAAATTCTAGGAAGGCTGACATGTTGAAGTGGCTGCACGAAAAAAGCATCATGTTCACTCCTAATTATCCGAGTTGATCAAGGTAAATAAAAAGCATCACATCAGATACAAATTTGATTAGATTCTGCTTGAACACGGACATAACGTTTTGCGACTTCCATCCTACCATCCGGATTTGAATCCCATTGAACTCATTTGGGCTACTGTCAAAAACAACATGTCCCAAAAAATGTAACTTTCAATATGGAAGATGCGAGGAAACTGGCGGAGCACGAGTTTGATCAAATCACTTTCAAGGAATGACAAAAGCGTTGCCGACATGTAGTAGATACTTATAGAGCGGAAATCCAGAGGTAAATCCAGTGATTATAAATTTAAATGACGATAGCAGCATAAGCAGCAATGAAGATGAAGAAAATTTGTATTCAGATAGTGTATCATTATATAACATTATAATCAACTATAATACTACCTGTAACACTAAATAAAATATGAAAAGAAATGACAAAGAAACCATGTTCCATTTGCTACCCTGATTACAACTAGTTATAGGTGCGACACTGGCCAGCAAGGGGCTTATCGTAATCCAATAGTAATTTAGTCGGGAGAGTATACCTGCGCGATTGATCGCCATCAGTCGTGGCGTGTAATGTATATTTATCGAGTTTCATGTCAAGTTGGCATTTATAGTTCAGCTTAGCACTACTGATGAGTCCTATGGAGGGTCAAAACAGGGGTAGCTGGTGATGAATAAAAAATGTGTTGTGTTTGGGCTCTGGTTTTCATACACCTGAAGAATTTGACTCACTGCCTCCGTTTCTTATAGTTTCCTGATTTTTTTAATAATACTTTTTTTGGAAATAAAGTTCATTGCTGAAACTGTGGTTTAACTTTGATGTATTATATTTTTATGGGTGTTGAACAATCATTAAATATTCAAATTTCTGGAATAATAAATTTGAAGTTCAACTTTGTCAATATAAATCGATATTCAATTCCACAGGTGCTTGTCAGATGCTAATGACTGCCGCGTGTGGGTTCATCCAGCTCTATTTTCCTTGTGGAATGTACAAACCTTCACAGCGGTTGAGTAAACCACCCGGTTTTTACAAGCACATGGTTTTGGTAGGGTGTTTTAGGTAAAACAATGATTTTTTTTCATAAATATTTTCAAAATAATATATAATTTTTTAGGTTTCTTACGGTTGTTCTAGGGTTGATAGCTTTNTTTTATCACCCCTCAATGACTTTTTATCACCCCTCAATGACTTTTTATCATCCTTCAATGGCTTTTTATCACCCCGTAATGACTTTTTTATCACCCCTTGGTTACTTTTTATCACACCTTAATTATTTTTTATCATCCCTTAATGACTTTTAATGGTTTTTTATCACCTCAATGACTTTTTCAACTTATTTGTTTTTTTTATTGCCCATTAATGGATTTTTGTTGTTCACTAATGGCTTTAATTGCCGACGACACATAAACAATGTTTCATGTGATAGTTCAATTACTTTAAGATTTCATTACCGTTTGATGAAGTTTTTTGATATAATCCAAAATCCAAATTAGAATCCATATTCGAAAACAAAAATGTGTTATTTCACCGGAGTCCATGTTTTTATTTCTGTTTTACGTTAGAAACTGTATTTTAAAACAAAATGTCAATTCAATGATTAAGTTTGTCATTTGAGAAAATATTTTGAAGTAGGAAATTCTCAAGGCTTTCTTGCAGTTGAAAATAATTGAAACACAACTGTAAAGTTATGAATTTGCTCATTTGTGGTTGACCACGAATTTGATATTTAATACTTAAACTATTTCAGCAGTGATGCGTCCATGCCGTAACGGGCAAGCGAAGCCACATTTTAGGCGATTGTTTGAAGGTAGTTGACAATGTTTCATAGTTTCATGGTGAATTTCATTAATTCGGACTTCCATTGTCTAATATGGTGTGATTTGAAATCTTTGAAATAACAAATGAAAATTAAAGTTGAAAAGAATAGCTGAAAATGACAATTATATTGAGCAAAAAAACTCCGAAAAGAAACTACAATAAAATACAAATCAAGTAAAAAATTGAAAATTGAACAATTAAAATGAAGAAGATTTCAAACCAAGTTACTTCACGACGTTTCGAATATTAGTATCCACAATTATCTTCAAACGATGACACTCAATACAATTGTTATTTTCAGCTATTCTTTTTAATGTTAATATTCATTTGTTATTTCAGAGATTTCAAATCATATCATATTAGACAATGGAAATCCGAACTAATGAAATTTTCCCATTGATTCCCATTGATTCTAAATTATGAATATGGAGGTACAGTTCCAGGAGTTCGGACTTTTTCATTCTATGTGTCCTTCTCATTGAGGAGGAAAACTGAATGCTATCTATTTTTATATAAATTTCTTAACGATGGAAATATTTTGGGTACTGTAAAATCATCAAATCTTTTTTCATGTCATTTTGAATCCAGAGAGCTATCGCTCATTTTTTAGCATCTACATCTCTAGATGTAGATAGAAAACACCGAACCAACTGTCCAAATAATACACACCCATATTCCACAAGGAAAATACAAGAAATAATTCCAAACCACACCCTACAAATTACCAGCCAGAGTCCCACAGTTATGGGAATTAAAGTGTACAACCATCTACCCCCTACTCTGAAATTACTTACCACCTGCAACTTTAAGTTAACACTCAAAGAAATATTCATTCGGACTCCCTTCTACAGATTGAATGAATTTTTTAATGAAATTTCAGTCTAGTTTTAATGGTATATAATTTACTTATATCAATACACAATACCACTTTATCTCTATATAACTCTAATATTATTTTAAATTTTATTTTAGAATGTACTCTTTTCACTACTAATGTGACTTATCTCTTTCTTTTCGACGAAGGTTTCATACATGCAGTTGAGCCCGTTGAATTTTCATCGACTCCAAGACAATTTGCTGTTTGGGTTGGATATTTCCTACACTGATGAGAGGTAGTACTTCGAAACCGCGGTCTGTAGGTAATTCACTCGAATAATTTCGTCATGGTCCTGCTGCTGGATGAACAAAAAACATTTACGAGATTAACCTCTGCAAGGTATCTTGCATGAATGTCTATCGGATATAATTCATTGTCCAGCGTGGTATTAGCCGGGGAAGTAGTTGTTTTCCGGCAGGCATTTACCAGAACCTTCGGAGATAAATATTTCGAGATTTTATTTCGAATTATTTGTTTTCTAGTATGGTTTGACCTCTTCATCTCTATTAAACACGAATTACAACATATGAACTATACTAATGTAGACATGTTTTTTCAAAATAGCAAATTTTGTATATTATTTCAGGAGAACAGACGGGTCTCTATGTAAATCTAAGTCTTCTTCCCGTGATGTCAGGGCTGGCCCTGTGTTCTGTGAACGAAGTCAGCTTTGAAATAACAGGATTTATTGCTGCAATGGCCACTAATGTCACTGAGTGCATACAGAATGTCTACTCTAAAATGTTGATATCTGGTGATAAATTCAAGTATACGTAAGTTTGATTTTTCACAGCTCTTTCCAAAATCACTAACTCTAAGCATGTGTTGATGGAAAACTTTCTAAAAACAATGAAATGTTTGAGTTCAATTTGAAAAAGTGAGATTAGTATTCATTCATTCACTTTGTAACCTTTTCATATCTACTGTATTAACTGTATTACAGTTAAACTCATTTTCGATTTTTTCACAAATAAATCTTCAATCGCTTAAGTAACGAAGACTCATCTTCAAACTCTGCATCCTTGGCAATTTTTTTTCAGCTGACCTAAATATCCTGAACTTTTAGGAGAGTTTGGTTTGAGTATCTCTGCCAAACTAACTAGAAATGTACAATCTTTTCTAACAGTCATTTGTCACAGATAGATATTATTCAGACGTAGACAAATTTGAAACATTAGAATATTTCAAAAATTGATTGTTGGAATGATCTAGAGCCATAATATAGTAATACCACTAGTAAGGATTTGTACAGACTTTTTGTTTTAGTTTTATTGCTTTCAAAAATTCTAATTGAAAATCGTAAAATGAGTTTCTAGGTGATGAATGAATTTTGTGATCACCTTCGAGATAGGTTAATGCAGTCAAGTTGTTGGAAAATAATTCCATGAAAATCAAAAGATAAATAGATAAGTACTATTCTGATCATTCCCATATTGACTTCAATTTAAGAGTCACCGGCAGACAGCTGTTGCAGCCTATTGGGCATCGTCAGTACTGGACATATATGTATAAATATATTGTTATATTTACTTCTGTAATGTTTTTATGAGATAGTCTTTTCTTGTTCAAAAAGGTTCATATAGCTTTCTTATCATCCTGTGTTCATTTCCAAAAGATCACCAAGACACTAAAAAGTAGATTTCCGGGAAATAATTCGATAATCAAGTTGTTATTAACAGATTACTGGGTACCGAAAATTTAACTGGTGGTTTTGATATGTCAGTAATGGTAAAATATATATTATTCTGGTTGAATTAGACGGAAGTTTCAGTTTTTAAAATAAAATAATTTTCGTAAAATGAAATCGTTAAATTTAATTTTACTGTGATGTCTTCATTATACGAAATATGGAAAAGGTGTAAAGATAATATTTTATTGAGGCTATGCACTATGCACTTGATTTGACATACTACGTTTCATTAGTTCTGGGCCACCCTTTCGAGATCACATTAGTATGCAATTCAATTTTTTCCATTCAGTGTAATTTTATCGAAAATAATTTCAGGGAATACTAGAATAATTCAATATTATTTTCAACTTTGTACAATACGGGAATAAACAATGTTTATTCCTGTATTGTTTCTATAAATAGAAACACATCTTTTATGTATCTACTAGGATTCAACTTTCACTTTTTTATATGCACCTAATGAACTTTCGATTTCTTGACTGAAGGTTATGAGAGGTATTGAATAATTCTAATTAGTATTACATCATGCGATGAATTATACATTTAATGGGGAAAATATTAGGGGAATTTTTTGATTGTAGATGAATTTCTAAATAGTTGTTATATAAGCTTCTTAAATTGAAACTTAATAATTTTTACAATGTACCTGCAGCGGACAGTCGCCTAATAGTCAGGTCTTGTCAACAAGTGCCTTTCAGGTCAAACTGAAGATATTTAAACATCAAAATTGAAAAAAAATGAATTGAAAAGATAAATAAGTCCTAATTTATTTCATCATATCTTTATTATAATAAGTTAAAACATATGAAAATAATAAATGAATGATAAGTAAATTTACGGTCATTTTATCCTTGTATATTTTAATGAAATCGAAAGATTTTCTCAAGTTTCGTGTAGGTGAATAGACCTCCAAAATATAAGTGTTTGTATTTAGCGCTTATCGGATTTTATTTCATAATTGTTATTCGTATGTAAGTATCATATTTTTTTATGCTAAAATACAAACATTGTAGAAGAATACGCAAGGCGTTTTGTCTGTGTGAAAGTGTTGCTTCACTTTATATTTGAATCGTTGTAGATTATATTCATTTGACAAACGCTTTCAGGAAGTTATACTGAGTTGAATCTTGAAACGATGAGCGGTTTCAATTTGTTGTATACCTCTGGCAAATATCGCTTTTGGTGGAATTAAGTGGGTCAAATCAGTTCATGAAAGTATTTATAGAAGAGAAACAAGTATTTATGTTCCAGAGTGACAAGGTTGCATATGATGTCTGTGTCTCCAGTCAAGCAGATGGCTCTTTTCTGGATGGAATTTGATAGCTTCAGGGCGTAATGAGGGCTAAAACTACTCACATAACAATATTTATGAAAAAAAGAGAATTGAAACATATTATATTTTTTACCACTCTTATTTGTTAACTAACGTTACTGCAGTTTCGTTCTATAAGGACATTTTCGCACTTATACATTAAACTAAAAATGATTGATTACATTAACCCTTTCATAACACCACTGTGGGTAATAATAGAGGTACTAAGCTCAATTGAGTACTTGAGTTTTATTTACTTGTGACAATGTAGATACGCTATTTTAAAAACCGGTGAGTAAACTAGATCGATTTGATCATTTAACAAGTTGCAATCGCAATGTTTATGCTTATGAGTTTCTTTTCTAAGGATTCCAAATAATTGAGTTTGCAACCCTTTCTTCCATAGTGCAACATTTTTTAGTCTGAAGACTAGATAAAAATGATTCGACGTTTTCAAACCATTCCTTGGCATGCAACCACAAGTTCCAGAATATAAACGATACGGAAGGAGGGTCGCAAGGAGGGGTCGCAAACTCAATTATTTGGAATCCTTAGAAATTCATAAGCATAAACATTGCGGGTACAACCTGTTAAGGGGTTTCTAAACGGGAAACATTTTTACTGCAATATGTTGCAGCAATATTCGCAACTATAGCCCAGCCATAATAACATTGGCAGCAGGATATGGCCCGGCAATATATATTTCGGCAATATTTACCTGCAACAGTGTGGCGCATGTAATCAAAAATGTTTGTTTCGTAGACGAGCTACATAACCGGGCAACAATGGCTGACGAAGAAATGATTCTTTTTGCGGCGGCTTATATTGTTTTAAAAGAAAACGAAAAGTTGAAGATCTCTTATTAGAGGACTGAAATCATAATTTATATTTTTTGTTGTAAACACCATAAAAAATGTCTTGAACAAATTCACTAGCAATCCGTTGAACACACACCACTCATGAAAATCATTAGCACAAATATTTGCCTTGATTACAGTTGTCTGTCATGGAGATATGAAGCAATCCAATCACTTGTAACTCCTCGTATGCCAATTCGGTGTAATTTTTCCAAGAGTAGTTGGTGATCAACTGTATCAAACGCTCTAAGATTTAGCATTAAACAATCTCGTTGAGAAAATCTCCCAATCCCTTGACAACAAGGAGATTGCGGTTGCTGTATTTCTTGATATTGAAGGAGCATTTGACAATGCACTACCTAAATCTATAGGAATGTCTCTGGGTAGGAAGGGTATAGAACCGACCATAACTGGCTGGATCTATGCCACGCTAGTAAACAGACCTGCAACTACGACTCTTCAAGGCGAGGCTATCAGGTTCAGGGTCACCAGGGGCTGCCCTCAAGGTGAGGTACTATCTCCCCTTCTGTGGTCGCTCCTGGTGAATAGTCTGCTTGATGCCCTTGACAGAAGAAAAGTTGATCTGCAAGCTTATGCAGATGACCTTGTCATCCTGGCAAGGTCCACGTCGGGAAGGGTAGCTTGTAATATCCTTTAAAGCGTGTTGGACGTTGTTCACAGTTGGTGCTTGAGGGAGCAGATGTCTGTCAACCCCAGCAAAACTGATCTAACGCCACTTTCCCTCAATAGTGTGGTCATTCTATTTGGAACGGAGGTGACATATCTTGGCATTTTCCTTGATAAAAGACTCACCTTGAACGCTCACTTAGAAGAGGCTTGTCTGGCTATCAGTGGTGCCATCAGTACCACACCGTCAGCGGCCATGGAGATCCTTCTAGATCTACCTCTTCTCCACATTTTTCTGGAAAGAGAGGCTAGATGAACTACATACAGACTTGTGCACATTGCCAATTGCACAAATCAATTCAATGCAGAGTACAACAGAGTGTTGGTTGACATTGGAAGTCACAGCATTCTGTCAATGACCTCTGACTTTATGCCTCCAACTGTCAACTACGAACTGCCTTATAAAGTACTATTCCCGAGTAGAGAGGACTGAATCCTGCGGGAGAAGGAAATATTAAGAGCAGATAGTTGTTGGTTCACAGATGGATCAAAAACACCTTCCGGTTCTGGTGCAGGTGTTTTCAGTC